AACCAAACCAAAAATATTCATACATTTGTGCTAAGGGAGACCTCTGTGAAACATTATAGTTCTGATCGATGTCCAAAAGATAAGTTACATCTCAACAACACCAGTACTATTGTGGGAAAATGAATACAAGCTATTATGAATGAGGTCAGGTTGTAACAATGTTTTTGTGCTGTCCCTATCAAACATACCATCAAACAGCAACCCCTCAGGCTCAGGTCAGCAGATCAGAGTCTCCTCACCATCCCCAAAAGACCACGTGTTTCTGCTGTGCTAAGACTTGGATTGAGCTCTCACTGATCATCAGACAGACTGACTCCCATCCTTTTTTCAATCTACTCTCAAACCCTTTTTTTCTTTAGCTCAGTTTGAAAGGTTGACATATACTGTCTGTTTTGTCTCATGTTTCAGTGTTTTATAGCAGCTTTAAATTTGTGTAAAGCATATTGGTTTACTGTATTGTTTTCCTCTATAAATAAAATTGGATTGCATTAGAAATAAATGAACAAATGAATAAATAAAACTGTATTTTCCACCTCATTTGTACCCAATTTGTTGTTACCAATCACAGTCTTTTTCCATTGCAACTCTCCCCCCAATAGCAGAGCCATCGGCCTCTTCAACCTCTCCATCTTTTTTTCCAAATTCAGATCTACACTGAAGAAAGGGTCACTGGATTTGCATTTAAAAAAATATATGGAATGCGGCTACATGAAATAAAATTATGTTTAGGCTTTGAAACTTATTTCGATCCCCTCTACACTTATTTTTCTCATAATATGAACTTCACTTTTTCATGTTGATGAAATTTTATCAAATCATGATGAATACGCAGATTTAGGCAAGGCAAGTTTATTTGTACAGCACAATTCCTACCCAAAGTAATTCAATGTGCTTTACAGAATAAGAAATACATTAAAATCATAATAAAAACATAAATAATCATGAAGATTAAAATTAAAAAAGAGAGACATAAATTGGAGAGAAGAGTGCGGAATGAAAACCTTTCAGTCATATGCACAGTTAAACAGAAATGTTTTGAGCCTGGATTTAAACAGCATCACAGAAGAGTCTGTCTCACATGTTCAGGAAGACTGTTCCAGGTTTTAGCTGCATGAACCTGAAATGCTGACTCCCCTTGTTTAGTCCTGACTCTGGGCACCAGCAGGAGGCCGGTCCCTGAGGTCCTCAGAGTGCGAGATGGTTCATATGACACTAACATGTCACAGATGTACTTTGGTGCTCGGCCATGGAGAGACTTGTACACAAGCAGAGCTGCTTTAAACTCTATTCTCTGAGGCACAGGAAGCCAGTGCAGAGACCTGAGCACAGGACTTATGTGCTCGTACTTCCTAGTTCGAGTAAGGACCCGAGCTGCAGCGTTCTGGATGTTCTGCAGCGTCTCACAGCTCGTTTTGAGAGACCAGTGAGCAGACCATTACAGTATCTAACCTACTGGAGACAAACGCATGGATAAGTTTCTCCAAGTCTGCTTTAGACAGTAAACCTTTGATTTTTGCTATGTTTTTTAGATGGTAAAAGGCTGCAGATGTTACTGATTTGATGTGGCTGTTAAAGTTCAAGTCTGAGTCCATTATTACCCCGAGATTTCTTGCCTGATTTGAAGGTTTTAGAGAGAGAGACTGGAGGTGACTGCTGACACTGTCCCTTTGTTTCTGTAGACCAAACACTATGACTTCAGTCTTGTCAGAGTTTAGCTGAAGAAAGTTGTTTTGCATCCAGACACTGATCTGTTGGATGCAGTGACAAAGTGAGTCCACTGGTCCATAGTCTCCTGCTGCCAGAGAGACATAGATCTGAGTGTCATCTGCATAATTGTGGTAGGACACATTATTGCTGCTTATTAACTGGTCTAATGGCAGCATGTAGAGATTGAACAACAGGGGGCCCAGGATTGACCCCTGAGGCACCCCACAGGTCAGGGCCATGTGATCTGAGACACAGTTTCCAATTTCAACAAAATACTTCCTGTCTTCTAGATAGGACTTGAACCAGTTTAGTACAGTACCAGAGATGCCCACCCAGTCCTCTAGTCTCTGTAAGAGGATCCCATGATCGACAGTGTCAAAAGCAGCACTAAGATCTAAAAGGATCAAGCCTGCCTTTGCCTGCATTGGTGTTCAGGCGGATTTATCTTACGTTACTTTATCATGAAAAATTGCCTTTTTTATGGTTTTGGATGGATGCTGAGAACTTTTTCAGGTCTGTGCCTGTGGAAACAGGAATAAGACATGATCACATTATGATGATGTACTTTGCGTTGTACATGGTTAAATATAGTTGAAGCACCTATTATTCTTTAATATGATAATGGACAAGAACAAAATCACAGTTAGATTTGCACATGCAGAAACAATACTCACCATGTGCTGCTTTTCTTCCTCAAAATGCAGTAGGGCATCTGGTATAAAGTCCTCCTCCTGCCACATCACCCTGTAGAAACACATGATAACTGTTCATTAGGAAGTATATTTTGAAAAACTATAATTCTGTTAAAATCATTTTAGTTGGTTTACTTATTTTGTTCATCTGTGGTCTGTGTTTTGTTGGTTCTCAAATATTTTCCTTTTCCTGAAAGATACAGAGATTTTTATTTTGTTAAGTCTTTTTAACAGTCTGTTAACCTCACTTTCAGAATGGTGCAAAAAAAAAAAAAAAAAAAAAAAAAAAAACTACTAACACAGACTTTAACATTCATGAACTTACATGTACCCAAGGCTACAGCAGTGTTCTGAATATCACTTCATTTGTAGATGACTCTGGAAGTTACACATTCAAATCTTAATACAACTGTCAAACTCTTGTAGATGGGCAGTGATGCTAACAATTTGTTTGTTAAATTAACCCACATTTCAAATAAAACACAGCAAACGTTCTAGGCCACAGAAGCATATGAAATCTCTTACCGCCAGATCAGCTCTCATAATCCTCCTGCTCCACACTGTGTGTCCTCTGCTCCTGTCACTGTCCTGTGTCCTGCTACATTTGAATTTTCCTTCCCAAAGTTTTGGAGAGGAGAATTCTAGAGGGAGGAGAGGAGCTTCACCAGACATTAATGTTTCCTGGGCTTGAGTAAATATGCAGGTCTAACATCAGCCACAGTCAAGTGACCTTTGAAGATTTAAACATCCTGAACAGAGAATTGTAAGAAAGTCATGTTATTGTTGTCAAATTAGTGTCACATTATATTGATTATCTCACACTGGGTGCATATTAAATAATCCATATTCGTCAATAGTAGTTATAAGTTCAATGTAACACTGAAATCTTCAAACTAAAAATAAACCTCCAACGATCCCAAAGTACTTCCCATATGCTTCAGCTGTGTTTTCCCTGCTGCCTTCACACCCTTCTATCCAGACACCAGTACCATCTGTAGATTCTGAACACAACAACAGCTTATTTGGCTCTAAACAACTGTGTCATTAATATTAATAGAGAAGTATGATCACATAGAGGAGGATGGAAATGTTTCTAATCTAATTTAGTTTTCATTCAAAGCAGTTTTGAAGTTTTATTTGTGTTGTTGTTCCCCTGTGCAGAGGTATAGCAGATATATGGACTGTGTAAACATAATTCAATTTAATTTGCACAACAAAGGGAAGTTTTATAGCTGCAACATTATGATAGAGATTTGGCATGTTTTTAAAATCCAGTAATCATCACATGTTGTTTTCAAAAAAGGGCACAACAGGATAAACAAAGAATAAATGACCAAAACTAAGCTCATATATTCTAAGAAAAATGTCACTGCTGTAACTATCCATGGGTTTCAGAATTATGAAAATTTAGTACTGTTAGTATAGCAATTCACAACTAAATATTATATCTTTTTAATAGTGAAAAGGCCTCAAAACGTCACATATAACAGGAAGCTGAGCCCAGTGTTAATATCAGTATACAACTTTAGTTTACAATTACAACTACTGTTTTAAGGTATGATGGCCTCTGTCTTGTTATGTTTTTGTTTATTTTATCCATAGATATAATCTATATTCTATCATAGTGTTATTTTAGCTTTTGAATGGGAAAAAGCTGAAACTAATGAATATTATTATAGTCTGCAGTTTTATCATAGATATAAGCCTTTTAGTTTATGCCCTTGTTATGTGTATAAGCTGCATCCCATATTAGTGTGTGTCTGACCTTACTGTCTGATCTCTGTGTGGTCACTGTCCCACTGCAGCCCCCTCCTATGGGACCGTCCCCTCACAGCTCTGATAATCCTGTTCGGCAGCACTCCAGGGCATCCACTGTTTTGCCCCCACAGCACGTAAAGAGTTAAATAAGTGCACGCTGGCCTCAATATGTCACCAGTGCAGCTGACAGTATCGATGACACATAAGTCCAGTGCTCTGAAAACACACTTTGGCTTGGCCCGTTAGATATGCTGGGATAGTTGGCTCGCACTACTGTGTGTTTGAATGTACATGCAAAGAAATACATGGCAACCCACTGGATAGCACACGAACAACACACAGCTTTCCTGCTCAGTCCTGGTCAAAAGGCATGGAAAGCAACATGACACAATCAATTAAGTTTATGCCTAAATGTGTTTTTATGAAACATCTGCTGGATTGGTGATGTAGGCCTACATGATACATTAGTGTTGCAATCTAGGTCAGATTTGCATACATGTAGCCTATATTTAAAATGTCAACACTATCTTGTTTAGGTATATAATGTGTTATTTACTTATAATGACCCTTGATCACTGGTAGCAAACCAAAGCTGAATACTGACTTAAGCATTTTAGGAGGAAAAAGATTGGTTTGTTTTAATTAGTTTTTTCTTTGTTAGCTTGGACCCTGAAGGCACAGATTTGTCAGCCTAGCCTGAATATTATAAACAGTGAACATATTTCGCCCCTGGTTTCCTTTGTCTGTGGATTTGGTATTTTTGTTTGTGGGGGGGTCCGTTCTCTTCCAAATGTCATTGTTCGGAAACACACATAAGTATTTGTCAGTGTTAATGGGAGAGCTGTAATGACTGCGCTTCACTTGAGTCTCATCAGCGCAGTCAATCTGACACATGTTTCTCGTAGAGCGCAGCTCAGATTGGACTGTGCGCGCGCGCGCCCGTGCGCACCTCGGACTATTGTGCCGAGATCAAAGCCAGATGGAAGTCACGCTGGGAATAGACAGGGGGAAATGAGGCAGCCGCGTTTGCACGCACACCCAGAGATGGAGGCGCGCGCGAGGAGACGGCAATGGGATTAGGGTGAACACTTCAGGGAAAGTGACTGCTAAATTGTTTGTCTCTCCGCGCGCTCACTCTGGATTTCTCCTCAGCTCACTGTGTGTGTAGTGTGTGTGTCTGTGTGTGTTTGTGAGGACTTCCCTCCTGAGATATTCACCACAGTGTTGCCTCGGCACGCAGCAAAGCGCTGGATACGTCGGGCAGTTCAGTCAGTGCGTGGCAAGGACAGCGCACAAGACAAGACAACGCTCTTATCATCTTGAATGAAAGGCAGTCTGGACGACACGCAACGGTTTGGACATTTGTAAAAGTGGGACTGTATATTTTAAGAGTGGGCACAAGGCGCAGACGGACGAGGATTAGAGATGCCAGAAGAGAAAACTGTAGACGAGGAGGAAGACTTAAGCATTAAGGCTTTACCCTCTGTTTTGATGACTATTTCAAATAAGTAACAAATATTAAGAAAGACCAAAACAAACTTTATTGAGGTCACACGATTGTCATCTCCTCGTGCGTCGCTCCGGACAGGTGCTCCATGTGCGTGTCAGGACTGAGCTAAGGGTCAGTGATGCCGGACGCGCTGACTCTCATTAAGAACCGCACGGAGCCAGGGCTCGGCCAACTGGAGCACACGCTGCCCACAGAGGGGAGTGCGCGCCCCGCTTGGGTCATTGGCATCTTGGCCAGCGTGCTCATCTTCACCACCGTGGTCGACGTGTTGGGCAACCTACTCGTCATCATCTCTGTGTTCAGGAACCGCAAGCTCCGGAACTCCGGTAAGAGCTGTTTTCTCTGGATGATGCAAAGGCTGCGAAAGTACGCGCGAACTTATTCCAAACGCACCAGGGCTTGTAGTACTTTGATGTAGCGTCGATGTTGAAGTTCAGATTCAATACCTTATTTATGGTTGGTAGTCAGGTCCACTAAGCAAGGCATCTCAAAGCAGTCTGTTATGTTTTTGTTAACTTTGGTGTTTTCTGTAGGAATGAAGCAAACATATTACAAGTCGTCTAATTCCAATTCACAAAAAGGGTCGTTCATAAGTAGGCTATTAAATAAGTTATACATGTTTTTGTCCTGGCCCAAATATTGGCTATTGTTGTAACCTAGATGCCAGACAGGTGCTGTACACTGCCTCATAACCTTGGCTTATATACACAAAAGTGCTTTACAAACTGAAGAGCCACTCACACTGTTTATTAGTGACTCTTTTCATTAATAAAAATATTAGGCCTATTATAAATTTTCAGATTTTTGGATATGTTAAGACCTTTACCACAGACATTTTTGCAGTTTGCAGTGGCTGCATATGAAATTCTGCCTGTGTGAGGTATCTTATGTACATTAAGAATGAGCCGCATCATGTATGAGGATGCACATAACAGCTATTAGAGCCTTCTCTGAAATATGAGTCTTTGTTGATGTGAAATTACCCAGACGGACTCCCACTGGCCCAATTTAGCATAAAGCAGGTTAAAAAAGAAAGCATGCTTTTACTGAATCCTCTTTGTGTACAATTATAGTGAAAGACAGAACATACCACAGCACATGCTTTGGTGCGTTTTAAAACTATGCAAACTATGCAGTACAATATGAAAGTAGAGATAAGAAAAAAAACAGGCAAGTACAGCGCATATTAGTGTATAAGTCAACATACCTTGGAATAGAGGTCAGAAGATCACTTTGGGATTTCTAAAAAAGAGAAAAAAGTAAAAAGTAAAAACAAGACACAGTTGAGGCACACAAATATATTGCTAGAAAGTGCTTCCTGAAAACAACCTAAAAATCCTCTACTGTATGGATACATTTAATTATGAAAACATATAAATATCTTTTTTTCACCACAGATAGAAAATTTTATTATTATTTAGACCAAACCGATAAGGATCAGGGTCAAGACCAAAACTATTGAACTTTCTCGGTCCATTACTGGCTTTTGAATATTTTATATTATCCATCAGTATTCATCACACTAAAACACTTTGTCCAGTGTGCTGATTTCTGAGTTCTTGAAAAAGTGATTTATATTGTGGAAGTCTGCACCATCTAAAATATACAGTATTAAAATGTACAAAGTTGTCTAGGTTGGTACTTCTTGATCTAGTGCTGACCTGCTCTTTTTTACTTTACTTTAGTCAGAGCAGCATTATACATTTGCATATTTTTAAAATCAGCAACTATTTTAACAACCATATTTTTGCTTTCATAAACCAATGTGTGTTATGCTAAAGAAGCAGGTTCATTTCGCTTAGAGACCTTACCATTAACAGGAATACATTTTGAACAAAGAGCATGTGAATATGATTAGCATTTGACATTTGGCATTGCATTTTAGGCGTAAAAGCATTTCTTCGTCTTACCATCTGTTTGTGTTTGGACTATAGCAAACTTTTTGACAAATGCATTGATGGTGTAAAATCTGTGTAGACATGGGTTCATTTGAAGTGGGCTGTATCAAAAATATTAAAAGTTTATATAAATTCTACAAAATAAATGGGATACATCAGTGACTAAAGTTAGACTTAAACTTTATTGATCCACAAGGAAAATTATTTGACCACAACACACATCACAATATAATATAATAACAAAGAGCAAAGATATAAATGTTAATAAATCAAATTCAGTAGCCAAGTAACCAAGACTGGTGTCAAATAAGGTATAATTATTCAAATGTATATGTACAAGTAAAAATAAAATACAGAAAAATAGTCATACATATACAATATGTCTAAGGAGAAACAATGCAAAGATGAAATATTGACTGAAATGACCTGAGGGTGAGTTGTGTAGTTTAAAAAAAAAAAAAAAAAGGCAATAAAGGCAAACCCAAGGGCCGTTTAACATGCATTTTAAAAGTTAAGTGTACAGAGCACTGAAGAAGTCTTTCAGAATTTGTTCCTACATGCACAAAGCTGATTCTGTGACAAAAATGAGGCTAATACAGTGATCTCTTATTGACTAAGATGGCTGCTTTACTGACAAATTTCTCTACTTTCAGACTGAAAAAAAAACAAAAAACACTTTTACAATACGCTCCCAGCTACGTCCATGATTAGGTCCCTCTGTATGCATTGTTAGGCAGTACCATCAGCTTGTGTTGTGCTGTGATTATTTAGCTGTGAGCAGAAAGGTTGGAATATCTGGAGTCAAACAGAAGAGCCTCTAGTGTCTGTAAAAACATGATGGCCAGAGCAGTGGATATTAGGCAGATTTAGACCTGAATTAGAGCTGACCCAGTGCAAACCCCCCAAAGGAGCCGCAGGGTTCCATGCGTATTAAATTCAACATAGTCCATTATAGTATCAGTCTCCCTACTAAGCGGAATAAAAAAAAATGTCTTGAAATAATCTTAAATTATTCTGTCATCTTTTATCACATATTTTGCACAGATAAAATACAAATCATAACAGCAGAGCAAAAAGTAATTTATGCAAACCAATGTGGTAGACAGATGGAGGCTCATCTTAATCAGCCAGTAGGAAAATGTGATTTTGCCGAGTTTTTTTTTTTTTCCACACAAATAATACTGTTAAGTTTATGTATTAGGGACCAGTCATAAACTGTCCTTGCCACTGACCTTGCCCCTCAGTGAGCAACAGACTCAAACTGTTCAAGGGGAACACTATTCGAATAAATAAAATCGACACGGTTTTGTAGCTCGGACAGATTTACTTGGTGTGAGTTTTGTGAGTGAGTTCCTATAAGTCAGAGAAGGCATGTCTAGATGGTGGATGTCGTGTTATGTAAAGCAAATTGTTATGAATTGTCTCGTTAGTTGTTTTTATGCTATAGGTGCAGCTGCTATATTCACAGTTGCTCTGCTTCTCTCCTACTCAGCTGTTACTAAACACACAGCCTGAACTGAGAGGACAGAGGAGAGCTCCCAAAATACTCAACAGTTTGACTCACAATGTTATAGAGGCATGCTGCATAAAGAGTTATGTTTTGGACAAAGTCAAGACACTGACAAACAACCACCGCTCCAAAGCACAAAGTTCAACTACACACAAGAAAGTGGAGGGCAGAACATCATGTCTTTGAAGTTTCAATCTGCTGTGAGTTGACAGACTTGTATCTTCACTTAAAAGGTCAGTGTGGGATCTCAGGAGTCAAACAGCTCCGTGAGGAGGTTTTGGAATTGTGCTGTAAATTGTGCAGAAGCCGAGTGGCGACAGTGACTGAAGGTGGAGGAGATAAATGTGAAGGCACACCTGATGCGAGCTTCCTTTTTAGATGCTCTACTGAAAGCAAATGTCACCAAATGATTTGTGTGGCCAGTAATAAGGAGTCAGTCTGGTTCTTATGCTCAAGTTTCTCAAGTCCTACTATGAAAATGAAATATTCAAAATAAGAAAGTAAAAGTAAAAAAGCAAAAGCAACTCTAGAAAATTATTTCTACTAAAGCCATTACTGTGTCTAATATAGTTAAAAGTACATTTGCAAAGATGAGAATGTATGCAGTTCTTTAGCAGTAATTGCTAAAGTTAAAAGTGCACGGTGTAACTTTTTGGTTGAGGATCTGTCACAGTTTGTTTCTATGGAGATGTCATTACTCTGCCTGGAAAGTTCCACAGTATGATGTTAAACAGCTCTACCTTACATTTATTAACCTCCTGGTGGTTTTATAGCTCAGAAATACCTAGAAAAACATACATTTTGACTGTAAGTGGAGTTGCTTTTCCACAGATCTCACCTGTAACTTGGTCTGGTCTTCATGAAGATAGGAAGGTTTAATACCATATGGTGAAACATTCCAGACAAAGGAGTAGTATTTCCATGGAGAAAAGCATTTGACGGATTCTCCACCAGAAAAGTTACACAATGCACCTTAAAGTGAAAATGACACAGGATGAAAGACATTATAAAGCCTCAGAAGCCTAAACTAAACTAAACTGCTCAACTATAAAAACTGTTAGCCACCCGAAAAGGAGCAGCGAACTCTACACCTATTGTCTAATCTGATTATCAAGTTATTTAAACATTGTTCACATTTGCTGTACACTAGTGTTTGGTGCAGCGCGTGAGGTGCTAAGTGTGAAGTGATGACTAACTCACACCTGCCCACAGTAGTCTAGTACTGCAAACACAAGTTTAGTTCACAGAGATCTACTCATGGAGACTATTACGCAAATAGACTGACTAAACGGGTCAGGTCTCTGATCCATGGGAACTGCTCAAAACAATAAAAATGTGTTTTATCTTAATAAGTCCACATGTTTCACACACTTGACTACAGCCACTTTAAATTCATTGAGAAGCAACAAGTAATTCTGGGTAAGATGAGAATTTAATTTATTTTTGTAGAGCGGAAAATCAAAACAGCTGTCTGTCCAACCAACAGAGTCAATCAAACAGTGTCACCGGTCCTTAAAAGACAAGTACATTGACAAAGATTCACAGGAGACAAGTGAAAATGTATTAGTTCCAAAGTACTAAGATCCTTTTTCAAAACAAAAAACAGACAAGAAACAGCAGGAAAAGAAAAACAATAGTTATGCAAGGGCAGTATGCATTGAGCTGCGCCACTTTTCTCTTTTCTCTAATTAAACAAGAAGGCTTTGCTCTCTGTCTGCTAGTTTATAGATATAGCTATTTACTCTAAGCTTCTGTATGACTTATTTATTCAGGTTTATATCAAATGTATTGGTCTCCCTTTTATGAATTTCCCAAGTTGTTCCTGACCCTGATGGGAGGTCCATTATAGGAGATGTTGTATTGGATTGTACAGCCCCTTTCTTTTCTTGTAGTTGTATAATTCTGTGAAACCTTAATC